TTATGGGTTATTATTATTTTTGTTATTATTATGATTATTATTATTATGATTAATAATAATCATAATAATAAACATGCACAAACATAATTTTTTTTTAAAAGGGCAATTAATAATAATGATAATAATAATGATTATAATATAATACTAATAATACAACACATATAAAAATCTGGGTTTTAAAAAACCAGATACATTGTTATTATTATAATTATTATTATTACTACATTGCATGATATATGGGGTAGCATTGTCATGTTTTGCACCCCCACTTGGCATATGAACCTATTTCTATGCCTTCACATGGCCACCCAAAGATTGGAGTAGGATGAATGGTCAGATCTTGACCAATGAACCCAAGATCTCCCTGATCCGCACATTTTTAGACTGGTGTATCAGATTTTGTACAGTGTCCCTCATCTCTAACCTTAATAACAATATAATCATCATCATGAGTGAGACTGGCTGGAGCCCTGCCTTGGTGTGCCATGCCCTACACTGATGGGATGGAGCCCTCTCACAATCCAGTCACCCTGTGGGACCCTCCTGCAGCCCTTTGTGTCCTGGAAATCATTTACATTCAGCGGTGACATTTGCAGACAAGCTTTGGTTAACCCCCTGCTCGCCGGAGGGCAGCGTAGTTACAAGCCTGGTCTCAGCGCAGGTTCTGCTCAGTTCATTAATCTCAGTTGACGTCCCATAGACCCAGCCACATTCTTTCAGGATGAATGCTGAGCTCCAAGTTCTCTGCATCCTTTATTGACTGCAGGATGGTTAAGGACCTGAGTGCTATTAGACTTTTCCTTTGCTAGAAAAATGTCCCTGGGTAGTAGAATGAGCTTATTTGTATACTGCGGGCTGTAAACATTTTACTAGAAGAGCCCTTTCCCCCTCCCCTGGGAATGATGTGTGCTTTTATCAGGATTCAGCAGCTCTCTGTCCACATTGAAGGGTAGAGCCCCATTATGTGAGCTCTGCCATGGAGGATTAGGTTCACCTGTGTTGACTCTGCTAAGTGGCCATAAAAGGTGAAAATGCAGCTTGACTGTTATATTGACTTGCAGTGAACCCGTGCTTTGAGCATGAAGGTTAAAGTGTAAAAACCATGACGGGTTATTTTTATTACTGTCTGTGTCCCATTGGGAACATTTCCTTTCACGTCCCATCCTAAAAGGCGCAACAGGAAGATGGAGGAAGTTCCTGAAAGCTAGAGGGGTTCCCTTCATAGACAGCTGTACCCGCAATGGGTACCCCATTGGAAGGTTTCCTTTTAGCTCTTGCGCTAACATGTTGCCTTTCCCCTTACTTACTTTCTTATTGACAATGGCCAAACAAAATTCTGTTTAGCCAGTTTTCTAATCCATACACCTCTGCCAGACACTGTACAATGCACTTACCATTTATTTCTCTCCATTGCAGCTTGGTGAAATTGATATTAAAGTCAAAAGGTTCTTAAGGTATTTCAAATGTTAATTAAATCACTTCCATTGGATGCTGCTCCTTAATAGGTTTAGCTTCCTGCAGAATCAGCTGGTCCCCTGTGCCCTGGTCCTGATATCCTGGTCTCCGGTGCCCTGGTCAAGTCACTCTCCTGCTGACTGCACCCTGCTCCTCTTTTCTCCCTTCTCAAAGCTAGAAGATGGGCAGCTGTTGGAGACTGTGCTCTCCCATGTGATTGTGTACTGGAAATAGGAAATTCAGGGAAGTGGAGTTTAGAGAATTGGAAGCAACTGTTCAGAAACATGATGACTGTAGTTGCTTTGGCAAAAATGTGAAGAAATGCTTTTCTGAGCAATATATATTTGTTTCATCTGGATTCATTATTGATAAAAAGTTTGAGTGTTTAATGCTACTTTAAGGTTGTGAATGGATAGAGAAGAAACAGCAGCTCATCTCTGTGCACTCTTCCCCAATCAGCAAGCTCCATTAGTTAAATTCACAGCACCGTGCTATGCATGAGAACTAACTGGTTTGCAGCATTGTCACTTCTTCTGCCACTTAGAGACTGCAGTGCAGGAAATTATAGCAGACTAATATGAACACAGATTCAATTGCTACTTCAAATACATTTAAATATGTTCTTATAAACACATAACAGAATTAGATAGAAGTCTTTTATATTGCACAACTGTTGTGCCAAGGGCCAGCTCTATTTGCAGTGCTCCTCGTTTCTCTGTTGAGTCCATGTTCTGCATGTAATCTGCTAAAGGCAGCTGCAATAGGCCTCTAGTCTTTCCGGAGGCTTCTGGCTACACAGCTCAAATGTATGCTCCTGAAACCAGTGGAGGATTCCGCTCTATGACATTCTCTACAAACTGAAACATGGCCCATCTATTACAAGTCTTTCAGTTTTAGTTCAATCTCAAGAGATAAACCACCCAACAGTTTCTGGTATCTCTTGGGGACTTCACTGGTGGGATCTTTGTGGTTGAGTTTCCATGTCAGCACAATGTATGTGGCCATTATGAGGGAGTCCATCTCTCCACCTTAGAACTGCGCTGAATAGGAGGCATCCTTTTGTAGAGACAACTATGAACCATGGGTCATACTTGTTCTGCATTGTTTTGCTACATGTACCATGGTGGTCATCAATCAATGTGGAAAGTTTGCATTTAAGTGATACCTTTTTAGTGGCTAACTTAGGTTATTAAAGGTGCAAGCTTTCAGTACCCTCCTCATGTCTTTAGATATAAGTAAAAGAAGCCTATGGGGTATGGGTACTCATCATAAACGGGCTGAACTACAGACAGATTTAAAAACAACTTATATGCAGTTAAAAAAAAACCCCATCATTGAATGTATTTTAAATACATCTACTGTAGGCATCTGAATTTCACTTGGCTTCACTTTGAGCTCCTTGCAAAGTAGAACGCAGACTGAGAGAGGGAGGGGAAGCACAAGGAACCAATCAGGTGTGCTGTATGCATAAATTCTGACAAGAAACATGTCGATAGAAGAGTATGCAGTCTGCTGTGCTCATCAGTCTGCTGTTGTTTCTTCAATGGCTAATTACGGTCTCCGGGCAGGTAAAAGCACTTTAAGAAAACCCTCACTCATCTCAGTATCTATAAGGATTGTATTGGAATTCATTTTCAAAGTTCACAACACAGGCAGTGTGTTTTCTTTATGAGAACGGATCATGGTAGCCTACCAGCCCTCTAATGTAAACAACCAGCATGTGTTTCTAAGCTGTTAGAAACAGACTGAAACCAATTCCAGAGTTTTTGTTATTATCTTTGAGAAGGAATACCTACACAAAACACTGCTAGGGAGGCTCTTTTACTGCTTGTTAAGATAACGTAAATAGTTTCATTTCCATAGTCTTTGAACAGGTGCCCTTTAAGGAATAAAGTAACCTGCACGTTGATTATTAATCACCAGAACATCTGCTTCTGCTATTTAATGATGAATAAAGTTGTAAACATTTTAAGCAGTCTCCAGAGCAGATGGTGGCTACATATGAGGTCCCAGAAATCGTATTAGTTCTTCTCAACTGCCATTCATCATATTTCTAATTCTTTGATGGCACTACAAGTCCTAACATGCCACTCCAGGCTTTGTAGTTCCACAGCAGTTCTGAAAGCCAAGGGTGACTCTAGAAACCTTTGTTTCTTTAGGTCATAATTAATTGTTAAAAGGTTTTTTATTGTGTTCTACAAGACTTTGCAATACAATCATAGCCTTTGATACAGTAAGAGACTTGAACTATATTTAGCAATGATTAGATGAAGATACTTGAAGTTCCTAGTAGTTACAGCAGGTAGACAGGACACGTTTCAGACTGTTAAGTGAAACTGACAGCATTTTTTCCCTTTTATCTTGCAGACAATCTCTCCCACTCTCCTGCTAGAAGACAGAGGTATTTGTTTGATGTATCGACTTTGTCAGACAAAGAAGTACTAGTGGGAGCTGAGCTAAGGATCTTTCGAAAAACTCCCATGGAGCTAGCAAAAGCCCCCTCGGGGCTGTACCACCTGCAGATTTTGCCTTGCTCATCTAAGACCCCATGGGATTCCATAACACTGGACCTGCGGGAAACTACTGCGCCAGGGTGGGAAGTGTTTGACGTGTGGAAAAGCCTGGATAGCCTAAGAATCAGAAACCAGCTTTGCTTGGAGTTAAAAGCCACCTCAGCCACTTCTGGGCTTGAGGTGAACCTTAAAAGTTTAGGTTTGGCTAGAAAACCCAGATCTCAGCAGGAGAAGGCCCTCCTGGTGGTATTTACCAAATCGAAGAAGAAGAACCTTTATAATGAGCTAAAGGAGCAGGTTCACTCTTCCAAGGGGCAGGAAAAAGAGATCCGATTTCAATTTAAAACCAAGAGAAAAAGAAGGACAACTTTTAACAGTCGTCATGGAAAACGTCACGGAAGGAAATCTCGACTTAGATGTAGCAAAAAGCCTCTCCATGTGAACTTTAAAGAGTTGGGCTGGGATGATTGGATTATAGCTCCCTTAGAATATGAAGCATATCACTGTGAGGGAGTCTGTGATTTTCCTTTGAGGTCTCATTTAGAACCCACCAACCATGCAATTATTCAGACCTTAATGAACTCTATGGACCCAGGATCTACTCCTCCCAGCTGTTGCGTCCCTACCAAATTGACTCCAATCAGTATTCTTTACATTGACGCTGGAAATAATGTGGTCTACAAACAGTATGAGGACATGGTGGTAGAGTCCTGTGGTTGCAGGTAGCAGGCGCTAATTTAGTGGCTCTCAGTCTTATCGAAATTGATAGGATGGAAAACACAAAAAAAACTAAGGGACAAAGAGTGGGCTGGTCCAGGACCGAGTTGTGTAAAATTTCAGCGGAGAAGTGGTAACATACGTCTGGCCCCTCCTTTTACCCTAGCAGGATATACCCTACACTGCAAGAAAGGCACTGATCAGTGACTGCATGGTGTGCACTGTGCTTTTCACAGACACTTTGCATATAAAGTCATATTTTTTTTATAGATTCTCTAGAAGGAAGGCAGCATTAGCTGATCCTTCAAACTGAGCTGAAAACAGTTTACAAGCAGCATCAATCATCGAGAGAGAAGAGAACTTGGCCAGAGCTTTGATTGTCATTTGTCTGATTACAGTTAAGAGTGAGTTCTCCACAAAAGTCTCATGTTCCTTGTGAGATGACGGGAGGAGGTGGAAGGGAGTCTGATGGTGGCACTTTGTTATCCCTCCTCCTCCCCATTAAATCTGATGGAGCCCACGCCATCCGGATCTAGCGGTGAGAGTCACGTCTGGATAGAAAAGGATTATGTTGCTGCTTTTTTTTTTCTGTTGATTTTTGAAGTGTACAGAAGATGCAGTGACAGGCACCTGTTCAAACTGAGCCCATTTAAGATTACAGGAAAGCAATAGTCTGTTCTTTTCATGGGCTGGCATGCGGAGAGTAATGGGAGCAGCCAACAAGCATACAGGCCCCAATAAAAGTTTTCCTTTTCCCAGCTACCTTCCTTATCGTACCGAGTAATCCAAAGGATGATCCACATCACTTCACAGGCAGAGGTCACTTAGCACAATGACACACAGCTGAAAGAGAAGGAAGGATTGGGGGAAAACAGAGAGATCGAGATACATTGTGTGTCTGGCAGGTCATTCATAAGGCAGTGCAAGGCATAATGACTGTAAAAATTGGAATAATCTTCATCAGCCAGTTACATTTCCTTCCTTATTGATCTAACTTAAAGTGTATGTAAACCATAACAACAAGCTTTTCTTATTTCCTCCTTTTTGGCCTGTTAAATACAATTAAAAGCATTTTCTTAAACCTGTATAAGAATATACCTGTTGATCCTTCAAGAAATCCACTGAGCTGTCAATTTACTGTGAACTGTTGCACTGAAATCTCAAGCAGTGTTATTTGCCCTGCCCAGTTTACCTCTGTGGACCACAGAACAGCTCTCCTATGTTGTGGAAGTGAGGAAAGGGAGAGTTATTCTGTAGTCCCAATTTGAAGAAAGCAGTAAGGAATACGTAGGGTGGCAACACTGCTCCACCATAGTTGAGTGAGTGTTGTCACCCTAGGAACGAAAGTGTGCTACTGGCAGGATCAACAGGTAAAAATAAAGAAAAAAGCCTGAAAAAAAAGAAAATTAATGCAGCCACCACATCTAAGGACTGGTAAGCTACAATATACATTTTGGGTTTTGGGTTTAGATACACATGTCCGGTTGCTACAGGTTACTGCACTTTGCATGTATTCACTGCATTCTACACCAAGCCACTTCACTTAACACAATACAAGGTTTTCCCATGGATAGTAAAAGCGCTCTCCTTGTCTTTTTGACATTCCTGGAAGATTATTAGCCTATGAGAGCCTTAGGCAAAAGAAAAAAGAAGAGAGATTTGTGCAAAATGCTAATTACCAGTTTGGTGGAATCAAAATTTCAGTTTAAAAGATCTTCAAAGCAATATATGACTTACAGTATGACAAAGGGCTTGTCCACATGTTTTTTTCCCCTCGCTTTTAAGAGCTGGTAGCGTTTTAATGAGAAGTGTCTGCTTTACACCCAGCTAGCAATCACATTCTTCCTTGATGACAGGTAGCATTTCTCTATTTGGATACGATTGGTGGTTATTATTTCCAGCATTCATTTCAGATACAACTGTACCCAAGGCTTACATTTTTGAAGCAGTTTTGTTTTGAGATGTTGAAGCCCAACTCTATTTTCTGGCTATTTGAGTATTACAAATAATTAATTTACACCATTACAGGCTACAGTATAGATTGTGCCCCAAGTAAAGTCTTAATTGTGTTGCTTCTTGTTGTGTTTTTGAGTGTTCTGACTGCATCTCTATATGATTAGAGCTGGTAGAGTGAGTATTTTGTAGGCACAGCTACAGTTTTGATATACCTGACCTTTCCAACATAATCACTTAATTACAATGTGTGTATACCATATTTACCTCCTGGAAATGTCATTTTGTCTCAACTATGCCCTGAGATGTTTACATTTATTGTCTATGCCCTCTAAATCTCTATTGTTTATGGAATCCCTTATATTTTTTAAATAACCAAAAGCAACTTATCTAGTCTCATTCCTCGAAGATTAAAGTGACACTAAACTTAGGAGTTAAAGGAGAACTATGAGGTGAGTGAAAATCACTCATCCTCATAGTTCGAGCCGACGTGTGACAATGCGCTGACTGGAGGAATGGACGGGGGAGGTACAGAGGTACAGCTGGTTCTGCCTCTAGATAGGCAGAGCCTGCTGTCATTCACGCAGCTGGGTGGATCTCGACAGCATTGTCAGGATCCGTCCCGGCTGCGGTGGTCTCAGTATACCTTGAGCTGTAGCTCGCGATATACTGAGCTATGGGTTACGGGAGGATGCTAGTATATGTCCTCCTGTAACCCTTAAGAGAACTATAGGGAAAAACACTTACCCCATAGTTCGCAACACATTCAAGTACCCTAACTATTAACAAAAATATATCTTATTTGGCTCACTCACTCAGATGTAGATCCTCAAATCATCTCTGAATTGGTGCTGACTCTGTCCATCCTTTTGGAGAGTGAAGCTCACTCCCATGATGGACCACAACCTCAGTGCAATTTGGTAAACTAACAGGGTTATTCACAAAAGGGTGAAGAGTTTGGAGAAGGCAGGAGAAGTGAGCAATCTAGGACAACATAGCTGAACTAGAAAGTGAGCTGAATTGGACAATTTTTCCAAATCAGCTATTTTGGCCTAGATTGTTCACTTCTCCTGCCTTCTCCAAACTCTTCACCCTTTTGTGAATAACCCTGTAAATGTAAGCTTGTAGTCAATCATGGAAGGAGCTTTAATTCCCCATGGTCGCTGTCTGTGTTGTAAAGTAGCCACCCTCCAGAAGGAAGGACAGTATCACCAATGCAGATATGTTTGAGGATCTACAGGTGAGTGATACACAAATAAGGAACATTTTTGTTAACCCCTTCATGACTGAGGCCCTTTTTTCCATTTTTGCACCCATGTTATATTCCACATTTTAGGCCTGAAAATGACGTAAAACCCCCCAACATTATATATTTTCTGAATGCCAAGACCCTATAGAATAAAATGGTGGTAGTTGATTTACACTTGCGCGTGAGCATTTTCAGGTTTTTTCATTTTTTCGAAAACTAGGAGGAGGAGATGCTGCATGTGTTTTTAAGGTGGTTTTCAGGAACTTTTATTGAAGTCTTATGGGCCAAAGATGTGCAATCTTCAAGCTACAAGCAACAGGCTACACACTGCTCAGGCGTGAATGGGCACCATTGAAAACAATAAGACTCTTGATGTTGAGCATTATCACAATTTGGAAAACACGTGACAAAACGCTTGGGTGTGAAAGGGTCAGGAATTGTGCATTTTCGGCCCCAGACTTTAATGGGAGAACCTGAAAGTGATATATAGTAAATGTTACCAGGAAACCTATGACTTGTGTCAATAATCCATCTTCTTTATTGTTGCAGACTGTCAAAAAACAAAGTTTCAGGATCACGCAGGGTCCCCTTCATCAGGTTTTAATATGACCCCGGAAACATTGTTTTTTGACAGTCTGCATCAATAAAGAAGATGGATTATTGACACAAGACTTAGGTGTGCAAGTAACATTTACTATATATCTGAAGATACGTGGCGTTATCTGTGGTTACTACAGCACCCTCCTTTGTACATAGGGGTTCTGGTAAGGAGTGCAGCAGTTCCTCTTTAAGATTGAAAAACCTGAGTGTCTCCAATATTTCAGAAGCACTGCTGGGATACATGTTGCACATGTGTTACATAACAAGAAGCAACACTTGAATGTCTTCTGTGGTTACATGAGCCAATTCAATAGCCTGTGCAAATATAAAGGGATAGATATTATTGGGGAACTTGGTTAAGTGGTTACCCTTCTTGCCTTGAAATTCTGTTTCCAGGGTTTATTCCTCTCAGGGATATAACCTTAATGAAATCTGGACATATTACATGGGTTTGTTCTGGTTTCCTCACAAAAACATACTACCAAGTTAGTTGAATTTGTTTCTAATTGGCCATGGTGTTTATGTGAGAGTGGAGGTACTAAAGCTGGCCATACATGGCTCGAGATTGGTCCCATTCCTGGGAATCAGCCAAAATTCAAGCTGTGAATGTCTCTACCCGGCTTGCCAAACTTCCCCTGAAAATTCGAAGTTGCTGGGTGGAAAATATCATCTGAATAGTGTCTCCAGTCAATCAGATAATCACCATTTGAGTATTCATGTAGCCACGCTCTTACAGCTGAATGAATACAAAAGTTGGCAGCGGGTGATTCCTCCATGCACGTTGTTCAGCGTGGATGGAGAAATGGAACAGTTTGTTGTCTGAATTTGGAAAAACGTATTGTGTACTGCTCGCTTTAGCTTGTGGGACAGGATGCAATGTGAAGATTGAATATATCTGTACAGTGCTGTAATATGTTGGCTTTATATAGATCCAGAAATAAAAAAAAAACATTTCTTATAATAATTTAATATTTTAAATTATTATTGCTTTTTATACCTCCCAACATCTTCAACCGTCCCTATACAAAGTTAGGATGTACAGAAACTATAGCAGTGATACTGAAACATGCACAAGTACATGAAATTAATAAGAAGCTAAAATAATCTACTAAGTTAAAACTGAAGGGATAAATAAATGTGCGGTTCCTCTTTTTCGTTATTTTTATTGCACAAATTATCTTTCTCAGTCATTTCTCTTCTGCATTGT